GGGAAATGTGTGTAAGTGTGTGTGTGTGTGTGTGTGTGTGTCAGTGAATGTGAGTGTGTGTGTGTCAGTGAATGTGAGTGTGTGTGTCAGTGAGTGTGTGTCTGTCAGTGAATGTGTGTGTGTGTGTGTTGGTCAGTCTGTGTGTGTGTCGGTCAGTGAGTGCATGCGTCTGTTAGTGAGAGTGTCCGTCTGTCAGTGAGTGTGTGTCCGAGTAAGTGTATGTCTGTTTATCAGTGTGTCAAATCAGTGAGTGTGTGTATGTCATTGTTTGTCAGTGTATATGAGAGTGTGTGTCTGTCAATGAGTGTATGCATCTATCAGTGAGTGTGTGCATCTGTCAGTGAGTGAGCGTCTGTCAGTCAAAGTGCGGCCTTGACAGGAAGGGGTGGGGAAAATTTAAATTGGGGAGAGGGTTGGTGCCCGAGCACTGTCCTGCCTAGAGCAGCACAAATCCTAAATACACCACTGATACAATGCATCCACTATACACACACATTGCATCCACGATAAAGACACTCACTGAACTCCTTACACATACAGATTGTGGCTGTGTGAGTGTCAGCCAGGTTGTGTGTGACTATGGCTACAGAAATAAAGTGATTTGGCAGATAATTGAGCAGTGAGACTGAACGGGCGCAATCTACACATTTTGGTGCTTAGGGTGTCCCTTTATAGACTTGGAATTTATTTCAAAGAGCTCTTGCTGTGTCAAAAACTAAAATGATTATTTGTAAGCCACTGATATGATCCACAGTGCAGTACTATAGCTGAATTAAACGTAAAAGTAATTGTAACAAAATACGTTATACATAAAAGAACATTAGTGAAGAGCACAAGTGAGCTTACAATCTAAAATTATAATATTTGAACCCTTAACTACAGTTTCCCTATTAAGATCTTTACTAACAATTTCTACCAAGACATAAACACATTAATATGTATATTAACACAATTTAAATGTTTCTTTCACTTGTTCACCAAAGAAATTATTGTATGGTATCTTATAAGCACATAGAGACAGAAATACTGTTTTTGTGCTAACTAGAACTGGATATTCTATATTTAATTACTGATATGTTCTAGACTTGGGGTATAGACTTTTTAAATTCTTACAGAACCATCTGTTATTATAATAATTACTACTAATATAATACAGTAATTAATAGCCCATATCCCCCCTTCCTGTAGCCAGTAGTATTCCATTTTCCCATCCCCTTGCATCTTCTGTAGTAGGCCATTTTGCCTTTCCAACTTGTCTCTCTCCATTTCCCCTCCACCAACGTCTCGACTTATTTTAAAGCCTCCCTCATTTGTTTAACTCTGCTGGCACGGAGGTCTCCTCCTGATGTGAGCAGAGCCACATGGACTGTGCTCTGTGATGTGAGATCAGAGAAGATCTGGTTGTCTCACAGTGAAGGATAACGTCATGTATAATTACAGAGAGAGCCACATGAAGATGTCTGTTCGGTGATAAGAACATGCTTTTTTTATTAATCTATGCTCATTTCTTCAGGCAGTGGCTCTGTTGCTGGAAAATGCAAAAATCTGATGATGGATTCACCATTGCACTCACCTACCTCCTAATTTCCTTTCCATGTTATCCTTTATTTTTCACATGCCATCACATCCATATTTTCCCTATTACCCCTGTCTCAGTTCCCAATTTTTAACCTTCAGATTGTAAGTTTTCAGTATAAAAGAGCTTTAATGGCTGGATCTCAGCTTGCGAGCAAGGCCCTCTTTACTATTTGTATTGGTCTGTGTATTTTGTACGGTCTTTTTCCCCAACTACTGTACAGCGCTGTAGAATATGTTGGTGTCTTAAAATGCCAGTAATAATAATAATAAAGGGTCAAGCAGTCTTTATTCTGCCACCCCTGGAACCTGAGGTCATAGACCAAGGCATACTCTACCTGATGGATAATATGTCCCTATGATACGCCTTTCCCCATGCCACATTTTGGGAAATGGGAGAACATTTACATTTAAGGGTTTGCAATAATATCTCACACCCAGAGCAGTGGATGGCAGTGGATAACATTACTTGTTCATAGTAGTATTGGGTTTTTTCTTCTCAGGATTCCCTATTGACCATAAAAGATCCCCAATCTCTTGTTCTTGTGGGATGGGGGGTGGGTGAGGTGTTCAAGTAGCAGGTTCACAAGATTGCCTAATTACCAGACACCATGATCTTAAGTAATGCATGTTAGGATTGGTATGTCTAATAAAGTGCCACAGATGGGTTTTAGCATTTTGAGTAGTCACCAAATCATCTGCTATTTTCTTAACTCCTTATTTCCACACCCTCTCATTAATTTGAATGTCTTGTGATGTTCTTAAGGGAATACAAAATGTACTCCACTCCAATTTGACGATCTCAGCCAATCCAAAGATTTCCAATAGGAAAGTATTAGGAGGCTATTGTGCATGTACAGGCAAAATTGCCTCGCTGCACCAATCAGCATCTCCTCATAGAGATGCATTATTATTATTATTATTGCCATTTATATAGCGCCAACAGATTCCGTAGCGCTTTAGAATATTATGAGAGGGGGGATATAACTAGCATTGACTCAGTGCATCTCTATAGGGAGCTTTTATTATTTCAAGGTTAGTTTAGAAGTTGATAGCCTTCATTTCTGAACATATATTATAGATAGTCAGCCCCTTTTTGATGTTAAAGGACCACTATAGGCACAACATAGCAGTGTAAGAGAAACTTCTGTGTTTACTCTGAGGATTGATCCAGCCTCTAGTGGCTGTCTCATTGACAGCCGCTATAGGCGCTTCCCCGCTTCTCACTGTGAACATCACAGTGAGAAGATGCTGATGTCCATAGGAAAGCATTGAGAAATACTTTCCTATGGACTGATTGAATGCGCGCGTGGCTCTTACCACGCATGCGGATTCAGCGTTGACGTCGGAAGAGGGAGGATTTTTCCCCAGTGCCGAGGAAGCCCGGCGATGGAGAAAGGTAAGTGATTAACCCTTTCCACCCCCTTCATCCCGGTGGGAGTGGGACCCTGAGGGTGGGGGGGACCTAAAGACCCTATAGTGCCATGACAATGAGTTTGTTGAATAATCTCGTCTCATTTAAAAGGAAAATTTATGTTTTTTTGTTTTTCTTTAATTCAAGTGTAATTTGGAGCAAATGGGAGTGTTCAATGTAAAGTCAACTTGCATGAAAGTAATAATAGAATAATAAGTCTACAATATTATACTTATATACTACAGAATATATATATATAGCTAGGGAGAGAGTACTGACCGGTTACTGTCTATTGTTAGTGGATGTTTGGGTATTTAAATATTGCACAGGTCTTTTCTGTGTATTGATAATAAAGTTGTCATTTAGAACCATTTTAATTGAAACTATCAGTTTTCTTCATTCCACCCATCAATTTTCTGTAAGAAGCTCTCTGTTAACACGTGTTAATATAAGCTATGAACGTTAGTAGAGTAAGGGTGAACCTCCATACTCAATAGATTGTATTCACTAAACTGTAAATTGTAGGGAAAAACAAATTGCAAAAAACAAAACAAAAAAAACAGATTTGGAAACATTTAGCCATATATAATAATTTTGCAACTTGGTTTTCATTCTTTTTTTTTTTTTCAAATAAACCCTCTAAATAGCATTATTTCCCCCCTAGCAGAGTCCAGTGTTTTATCTGTTATACTACATAACTCACAGTTTGAAAGAATTGAGATTTATGAATATAAAACTAGGTTATATGCGGATGTAAAACACACACACCTACACAGACAAACAAAAAAGAGAACACACATACAGCAGAATTAAGGTGTAAACTGTGAAAATATACTTTCAAAAAATCTGGCATAGAATAGCTAATATTTGCTCTAGAATTAACTCATACACAGAAATAGAACAGTTTTTACATTTTTTTTTATCTTCCACCAGATAATGCACTAACCTAAAGTACACAAAATTACTAAAACTGTGAATAGGGATTGAGAGCAGAATTCAGTCCTGTATTAGGGTGTGCCTACAACGCACACAGAAAGAGATCTCAATTTTCCATTATTTTTCAAACATTGCAAACCAATTTTACTCTGTCATTCATTACTGCAATTGCAGCTATGTCTTAGTTGCTTAACAATGATTCAGGAAAACTTCTAAGTTTTGAACTGAACTCTAGTAACATATCCTTTATTGTCCTTCTGTCAATAATTAAATAAAACGATATTTTACACTACCAGGAAATGTCGGCACCATGCCAGAATGAACAATCGATCTGAATGTTTAAAGGGGCACTGTAGGCACCAAGACCACTTCAACTCATTGAAGTGGTCTGGGTGCTGTGTCCCTTTTGCACTTAGTGCTAGTTCCAAAGAACTGCAAAGCTCTAAGTCTGCCCCCAGGCACTAGAGAGCTTTCGGAATCCAAACGGACCTTTGGTCTGTTATCTGACGTAGGATGCCCTCATCGTCTGCATGAGGACCTCCAGCATCAGATGTTTCCCCATAGGAAAGCATTGATTAATGCTTTTCTATTGGGAAATCCTAATGCTTGGGCGGCCGTTGCCGCGCATGCGCATTAGGTCTCCCCCCTCCGGCATCAGAGCGTGGGCAGAGACTGACCCAGGGCCAAGGGACATTGAGGCTGGATTCAGGTAAGTGACTGAAGAAGTTTTAACACCTTCAGAGCCACGGAGGTGGGGGTGCAATGGAGGTGGGCACCTTAGAAACCTATAGTGCCAGGAAAACGGCTTTGTTACAATGCCATCTAAAACGACTGGCAAATGGCAAATGTGTACTATTAGTGTCTGTCATTATCCCTGGTAATTATTACTAAACACCACATTGTAGTGAATTGAAAGCCAAAATACAAAGTAAATATAATTTTGGGTTATTCAGTAAACTCCAGTTGATTAAAATCTGTACGGTAAAATCTAGGCAAATATTTGTGATTTGTAGAATCAACTTTTAATGAACTACAGTCAAAGCTTAACTATTCAATTTGCTATAATTCAGAGTTTACTGAATAACCTTATATGTATGACCCTATTGTGTGCTAATGAAAATATGAGAACCTCCTCTTGTGGGAAGGTAATAATTTGCATATCTCAGCAACATAACATAAAGCAGTCTTGCAACTGCTGAGAGCAGAATCTGACGCCTGCCAGAGGGGGGAACATCCATTCATTACACAAGAAGCATTAATCAAAGTTTATTGAAAGCGTGGGCTCATAAATTTTACTTTACAAGGATACCATCATTGTCATTCAAATCAAGAAGTTGAGAAAAAAAAAATGAGAAGTGTGGATATTTTTCATTTGTTTATATGGATGATCTGCCTTCATACTTTCTGTGGAATCTTTGCAACCACTGAACTGCCCACTACAAGTAAGTTTAGACATTCTAGAATGTCTGCGGAATATTCCGAACAGAATTTTCTATGCGTTTTAGAGTGTAAAATCATATGTTGTTTTTTTTTTTCTGGTTTGTAAAAGCTGAACTGAATCGAACGCAACCTTATGTAGCTAGATCTCACGAATATAAAAAGTTTCTGGAAAAACAACAAACAAAACAAAACAGACAAAACTATGCTTGACGCATGCTATTGTTTACAAACAACTGTAGAATTTGACTGCAAACTCCTTTTGCTTGTGTGTTCGCTAGATTTAGCTGAGAATGTATGATAATCAGTTCTACATGATACTTTCTGTAAATTTTAAACCAGAAGTTGTAACCGCACAATCTGTATAACAGATGCAAATTCCATTGAAAAGTTTGTCTTGGCTTTTGATAAAAGATAATCAAGATATATGAGTCAGTGTCTGGGAGTAATGTTCTGGTTTATTTTAAAGAGACATTGCAACAAATAGCAACTTCCATTTAAGTCGAACATAGTAGTATTTGCAAAATCCTTGTCCCTTTAAGGAAAGGGAAATTCCTAAATTTACTATGACTCCTATTTTACTGCTGTGTAAATATCCTTTTACAGCCGGAGAACGTGGACAAATAAAATTCAAGGGCGTTATTCGCCAAACAGTGATTTGTGGTGATTACCACAAATAGTCCAAAATAGCCGTAGATAAAGAAATCTTTAGAGACACATTTTTTTTCAGATTATTTCTATATTCTAGGGAAAAAAAAGTTAAATCATATTGCCAAGCATTGAGTTTTATTTATTTTTAATTTATAACATATATATATATATATATATATATATATTTTTTTTTTTTTTTAATAACTTTGCCCTTGTCCTGTACCATTTCAGGAGCATTAAGTGCTCATAATACTTCTTGATATATATCTGTTATTGCTGTGGCGAAGCATCTTCTGTACATGTTTGTGCTTTGTGTGTGTGTGTGTGTGTGTGTGTACGCACAATTAGTCATACTGTAGATAGATATACTTTAATTCTGAAGTTGACATTTTGAGGGATTTTACAGTTTGACAGACAGGGGCTTACAAACTAAATAATGACTTGTAAAGAATTTTAAAAAAATTAAAAATTAAGGCCAAAATGTGCACAATGGACACTTTTGTTTTATTCTCTATTTTGACGATAAGTTTGAAAATTTGCTTTACAATTCACTGTTTAGTGAATAATTCCCACATTTTGTACAGAATATGTTCAAATTATATATATATATATAAAACCACAATGTGAATATATTCTGCATGCTATATATAAACATAATATAAAAGACATTAAGCTCAAGTGCTGGGCGAACCTGCTAAAAAAAAATTTCCAAGCTTGTATTCCGGTTTATTATGACTGAAATGCTGGCTTTAGAGGACACACAGTGGTCTACTGTGGAACCCGGAAAAATAAATAAATAAATAATGTGAAAGAAGGTTCTGAATGTGCCCGCTAGTAACCCCTCCATAGCTCAGGAGTTTGAAAACTTTTTATCTTAAATCAAGGTCATTCAGACTCCACCTAGCTCACCCACCCCCTTTTCTGACTCTCTGATTGGCTGAATAAAAACACAGCATGAGAGGGCTAGTCCAGGAATTTCAAAAAGCTCTTGGCTCATAGCAATTGTGACATATGCAGCCCATTGCTCACTTGTTCTGCTTGGACGCTTTCCCAGACCTAGAAGCCTTGGAGACTATTTTGTATTTTCTCTACGTTGGCAAACTGAGCTAAAGTGTAGAACTCAGTCAATTATTGCCAAATACAACTCCATTGACAGAACACGGAATTTAGGGTAAATGTAATAGTAAAAAGCAAGGAATTGGACTAAAACATCTGCACCAGTAGCCATCTTAATAAAACAATTAAAACAAATATTACAATAAAATTATAGTAATGGCTTAGGTTGACATGCTAGATCTTTGTGACCTTCCATTCTCATAACACTCAGCCAGCCGTGTCTAACCGTGACAGCTAGACATATTGCAAATCATTCTAGGTAAGGGACTTTAACAATGTCATAGGTTTTACTACATCGTATAGCACTGTTTAGACCAGGCTTCCTCAAACTCCGGCCCTTCAGATGCTGCTGAACTACAACTCCCATGATTCTCAGTCTATCTATTTCATTCAAAGAATCATGGGAGTTGTAGTTCAGCAACATCTGGAGGGCCGCAGTTTGGGGAAGCCTGGTTTAGGCAATCCGGCCCAAACCTAGCAATTAAGCTATCCTGTTTATTTCTGGGATTTTCGAATGTGAGCAAAATCGTTTTTCAGAAACATTTTTTTTTTTTACCTCTATAGTGTAAGCTCTTTGAGCAAGGTCCTCATCAACCTATTGTTCCTGTAACATTTTGCAATTAAATTTCCCCTTTTATAATATAGAATAAGATATATTTCAGAATAAGATGGCGCTATATAAACACAGATTATTATAGTTAATAATAATTCATTTAGAACATAAAGGGTGTTGTGGGAACGGGACATACAGTTGCGTGAGTAAGGGGGATTTGAAATTGACCTTGATTAACATTTATGACAAAATAGTTGCATTGAGTAACATATTCAGTTCATTTTAGGTGGATATTTTTTGTAATGTGACGATTTGTTTGCTGTAATTTGCAACTGACTTGCAAAATAAAAATAAACACAATTCGCCATTTAGTTAAGAGACCCGTGTATGGCATTTGTTAATCACTGATTAGAGTTTGACTATTTGGATTGAACTTTTGTAAGCTTGTTTGATCAGGGCCCTTATCTACCTATTGTTCCTGTGTCACTGTGTAATTGTTCCATTTATTGTAAATTCCCCCCTCCCCTCCCCTTTCATAATATTGTAACGTTCAGTGGAATTAGTTGGCGCAAAATAAATACCAATAATAATAAGAAGAATTGTGCTACTAATGCAATGCACTAGAGTCTAGACAGAAACAGTATACAGAGTAGCTAGTTAAGCAGATTAGAAATGAATTCTTGAAATAATAAACAGTATATTATGCTCCCACAACGACCAGTTGACAGTTTAATGGCTGTCATCTGGTCCCTTTGAGAACTTTATATATACAGCTTTCTCCAGCTATTTGTCATAGCAGAGTCAGACTAGGGATTCTCTTCCTGCACTGTGTTCTGAAATACATTGTCGGATTATAACAGATGCTCTGTTGCACATTGTACAATTTGTTGTGTTTATGTTATGTTGTCAGGATCTGCATCAGGAATCATTCCGCGCAAACCCTTTTGTTTTCTAAGTTAATATTTCCAGTCTCCACCGGCTTCACTTGCCAATTCTAAGACAATGTCAACATTGCTTAATTCTCTGAACTGTTTCGCTCTTGGCTAAAGTAACTAGGAGTTCTAGGAAAGTGACGTTGGTGTGAAATGATACTGCCAAATTAAATGCTGGGAAAATTCCTATATTTGAGATATAGCAGTTGTAGATCACTGCAAGTAATAAATGGCTGGATAAAAATGTTATTAAATTTTAAAAAAATCCAAAGATTTCTTTTAAGGTAGAATTCTGATTTTTACTGCTACTGAAGGTTGTCAAATACTTTAATTATTATATATAAGAATTATATCGTATAAGAAGAATTACTGTTTTAAGCATGCACTCATTTTTTAATGTACTGATTTATATTTTTTTGTGAGTATATTTGTAGAGTCTCCTTCGTATACTAACTTTGTATACTCTGTGTACTCCTAGTATACTAATTTATACCAACTCTTTTATACTAAACTACTAGTAATTTAATTGGTGGATCAGAGTATATAATAATCTGTGACCAGATGTCCAAAATTTACATAAAAAACAGCAGTTGAAAAAAAGATTGAATCTAGTCATGTCACACAGGTGAAATTACAGACTTAAGGAAATATCTGCATGTCACCTTTTGATACAGTTAATCCAGTTGCACTTTCACCATTTAAGCTGACATTGCTCGACTTGGTCAGGGCTAGAATAAAATGCTGACTGTTTTTTTAATGCTGTCCACGTAGCTACAGCTAGAAACCAAACTGACTATTTAAAGAGACACTATAGTCCCCAAAACCACTGCAGCTTAATGTAGTTGTTCTGGTGTCTATAGTCTGTCCCTGCAGGCTTTTTAATGTAAACGCTGAAAACGGTAAACAGTGTTTCACACCAGGGACCTAAACAGCCACACCAGCACTACAGTGTCAGGAAAACATTTTTGTAGTTTTGTACATATTTGACTTTGAATGGCATGTTGGCATCACTGAAGGAACTGATGTGATTGGCTGTAACAGTCCAGCCAATTGCATTCAGGGCCGGTCTTAGGTGTTCAGGAGCCCTGTGTGAGCCAATCTTGTGGCGCCCCCCTCGCCATCTTTGTTTGACCCCCTCTAAACAATTTCAGCCACATTCACAATCTGTCACCTGCACCCCTTCAACAAAACTCTGCCCCTTTCATCAGCCTCCTGCCCCCTTCATCAGTCCCCTGCCCCACTTTATCACCAGCCCCCTGCCCCACTTTATCACCAGCCCCATGCCCCCTTCACTAACCCCCTGTCCCCCTTTATCACTAGCCCCTGCCCCCTTTTATCACTAGCCCCCTGCCCCCTTCAATAAAACGCAATCGTTATAGATACACAAAAACAAAAAAAAAAAGCAATACGGACAAGCACCTACATTAAAGGCTGCTGCTCCCTGGATCCAGCTGTACCTTTTTCCCACTCCGTCGATTCGCCGACTGAAGAGCACCTGCTGCCCTGACACCCACTGAGCGGATCCTTCTGACACCCACCTTCCTCCTCCACGCTCCTCCTGCATTCCAATTCGGGCCAGTTTGTGAGTGACTATAAGCTGTGTCGGCCACCTGTTGCCCCTGTTGCGATGGCGCCCTGTGCGGCCGCACAGCTCGCACACCCCAAAGCTCGGCCCTGATTGCATTATCCCATTATTTTCTCTTTGACTGCATCTGTAAATGGATGAAGGAATGTGATGGAATGTTTGCAATCCCCTGGCTATTTGTATCTTGTTTACAGAGCAGAGGCTGCTCCAGGTCCCAGCATAAGATCCCTGGCCCATGAGTTAAGATAAGAAGGGAATTACTAAGTGGATCTTTAAAGGCCCCAAACTGCTTAGCTCAGGCATTAGAGGAGGTTGCAGGAAGCCAATGTGGTTATAAACTTATATTAAATTCCACATTCTCAGCATATAACCATTCGTAGAATGAGATAATAGAAGGGTCCATTTGCCTAGTTCCCATACCATACTCAAATATTGCCGCATTGTAGTTAAAGCTTCTCTTCCCATGGTTGTATAACGATTCAAGGACATTTTGTTGCTTGTAAAAAAAATGAATGAGACAGAAAAGTAACAGGAAAATTGCAATTTTAGACAAAAATTGTAAATACAAGATACATTTATTTTAGTGTGTAGCACATTTTTTGCTTAGAACCATCGGGGTGTGGACTCAGGGATAGGTTCTTTTCTTTTTCTTAGATATTCTTTTGGCATTGGAACATAACCTGTGAATAATATGCATATTAACAAATATATAAGGCTGAATCAGCGTCCTTTGATTAATGTCATTTATGTCTGGGGACTATGTTTCAATTAATTACTTGCAGGGTTATTCACCAAACTCTCAACAAATTGTTGTTAATAAAATCCAAGTGGCAAAACCGAGGGGGAAATATATGATCTGGAAAATTGTATAATTTACAACAAAAAAAAATGTGTTTAGAATTTATTGAATAACCCTACACGTTTTCCCATGATGGACCCATGGGTCAGATATATTGCACAGATGCAGTGTAAAAACCTGCAACCCTTTAGGATGCATTTTGTATAAGCATCTATAATTAAACTGACACTGTGGTCTTTGAAATTAATTAATGTTAAATCATTTAATGTTAAAAGTGCTTTCTTAGCATAACCACCAATATAGCATATTGTACAGAAGATTATTCAAGAAGCATTAGGTTCACTCGCTCAAGTTTTTATTAAACGTTTTTGGGCAGTTTGACACAAAATTAGGTTTTCTAGCACCAAATTCTCAAGCTCGATAGATAGTGAGGAATTTAATTTGCTTAACCAAATTTAGATGATAAGCAGATTAAATGAATTCACAATATCTTCTTCATTATGTTAACAGCAACAGAGGGGGCACAGTTCGGAAACCAAGAGAACTCTGCTAATTGTAAAACCACTCAAAAATTATTTATTATTTGACAAAATAATTAGAGACTGTACCCAAAAGCTGTTTGTACCATAAACACTATAAATGCTGTAGCGGCATTTTATAGTGTTTATGGTACAAACAGCTTTTGGCAGCTGAATTTAATAGTATGATCAACATTTCTACTTTAACTGCATATCTATTTTATCCTCTATCACTGTCAATTACTTATCTTATCTAATATGCTTGCAGGAACTACTGTTGCAAAGAAAAAAGATTTTAATGAAATCGAGAGCAAATTTGCCCTTCGAACACCCGAGGAAGTCGATGAAGACAATTGTTATCTAGTACCCGGACAAGAACACACTGTTAATCAATGCAATTTCAACCACACAAGCAAAACATTTGTTGTCATTCATGGTTGGACGGTAAGTTTGCGGATACTCTGTGTGTGGGTGGGTATTTATGAAAAAGAAGGTATCAATACAGAAATGTGATATTGTTTACTATGATTTTTCCTTTCTTCTGATTGCAGAATAGGCATGATACCTCCATAAGCCTTTATTTTTTTATTTTATTTTTTATTTTTTTTGTAACTTAGGCTTCAATTTAATAGTTAATAATATTGCACACGTTTCTAAATTATTTAATATTTTGGTGCTAAACTTTTAAAATGATTCAATCTTTTAAAAATATTTTAATATTGCAATATTTTTTATAGTTTTCAATATATTGATATTTTTTTTTTTTTACATGTAGTATAGGTTTTCATATTTAAAAATGTAGGAAAAAAACTTATTTGAAAAGTTTAACCAAAAATAATAAACCATTTGGAAGGCTAATCCAACAATATTACGTTCCTTAATTCCTTAAGGCTGATTGACTGCTTCTTTATATCAGGCTTTTTATAGTTTTGTTTTGTTTTTTTTGCAAATCAGCATAATGATGTCTACAGCGGTTTGGTTTAGGACTGCTTAAGGAGGTCATTTTTGTTTAGTCGGATTAGGTCTATAAATTGTTTCACATACTCTACAATGAGTAATTAGCAATGCATTAGTAAGGGCCTGCTTGTAAAAATTGTTGACAGGAGCTGACCTTAAATTACTTTTTCAATGTCCTTCCTCTAAAAGTAAGAAGGAGCATTGTACTTCCGTGGACTGAGCCCCCAGGCACCTGCTAGTGACTTGCAAATTCAAGAATATTTACTGAAAATATGCAGTCATGATGCTCATTTGTGGAATAGGGCAATGGTAAAAAAACTATATATATATTGTAAATACAAGATACATTTATTTTAGTGTGGATAGGTTCTTTTCTTTTTCTTAGATATTCTTTTGGCATAGGAACATAACCTGCGAATAATATGCATATTAACAAATATGTATAACAGTGTTCTTCGGGCAAAAGAACACTCCTGGAGTATTGCTGAAAACAAGATGGCTGCCATCGGAAGCCATATTTGTATTTTGAAGCTAGCATGAATGGTAATCACTTGTACAACAAGTAACTAGAAGCATTGTGCATTTTAAAAGCCAGTTAAGTGTTCTAATTGGTTCAATGCATCACTTTATGGGTGACAGATTTTGAGGAAAACCTGGGTAAATTGTCGGACAAAATCCGATCGTAATTAATATTTTTATATTTTTTTACTTTAGGTGACGGGTATGTATGAGAGCTGGGTTCCCAAGCTGGTAGGAGCACTGTATAAAAGAGAGCCCTATTCCAATGTTGTTGTTGTAGACTGGCTAGCCCGATCCCAGCAACATTATCCGGTTTCTGCAGAATACACTAAGTTTGTTGGCCAAGATGTAGCGACTTTCATTGATTGGATCGATGTAAGTAAATGTAACAGCCATGATGTCTGTCATCTGTCAAATTAATTGTGAAACTCCTAATCAAATAATAATCAGTATAAAACTAGCATAACATAAATATTTCACATAGGCAGGAACTTAATTAAGATTTTAAACAACTTAGAGCAAGAACTTAAATAAATAGTACTAAACTAACAAATGATATAAAATGGCATTTAATTGTATTATTGATATGAAATTGTAATTGATAGAGCAAGTACTTTTAATGAATAGGTGCACAGTAATGGGAAAACTCACATCCGTGAGAAAATGACGATGAGTATAACGTCAAAGTACATACTACGAAACACTGATTTTAGATAACAACCTGGCCTTGCTTTGTGTACACTACACTCTCACAATAAAAGAATAAAAATCATATAAACCCACTGTTTTTAAACAGATAATTTGACATATTCTGCCTAGGAAACGTTTGTGGCCAAGTAACATAATACACCCACGTTCCTTAGAATTTCATTCCATCCTTCCCCACCGAGCCTCACCCACACCCAACATGTTTACCTATTTCTCGACTTTAAAAAATGCCCTCTGATTTCCCTGAGCTATTATTCATAGAAATTTAGATTTTCTACACTTTTACTTTTCCCCCCTTTTTGTTCCTCCTTACCACACTATTTTTTTTATGTTGCATGAGAATTTAATGTATTTATAAGTACATTCAAGACCAGTTGCTGGAATCTCTTCAGGAACAAACACTTTCTCATAGAATGCAGTTTATCCCGCTACACTAAACCCACACCTATTTCAGCCAAGTTTGGTAGGATTTTAGATAGACTTTGATTGAGAGAGGAACATTTTCAAGGCTTTTCACCTATCAGTTTCATCACTGCAGTCCTGAATTTTCATAAATTTCCCCTTTGTTGGGTAAAACTGTTGTCCAATTTTTAACAAATGAGAGAAAGCTTTTTCTCCCATTACACAATTTTCTTCACTAGAAGAAACACATTTCTATGTTTTGTTCACAGGAAAAGTTCAATTATCCAGTAGACAACATTCATATTTTGGGATACAGCCTTGGTGCACATGCAGCAGGAGTTGCTGGAAGTCTTACAAATAAAAAAGTGAACAGAATAACAGGTAAGCTTTTAAGAATGCAAAATATAGGAACCCACAAAAGAGGAAAAGGGGTCCTAACGTGGAGAACAACTGAAAAGAAAGGGGAACCCTACCTTCCTATATTTTGCACATTAATCTATTAGAGGGTTACCCCTTCCTCTTAGGAGTTTGACTGTAGGTCATACTTGTAGAGACAATCCATTAGCCCCTGACTCATATCCGGGCTTTTGGATTGTACTCTTGTTTTTTTTTACTCTTTTTTTTTCCAAGGCTTTAAAAATGTTCTTTGTTTTCCTACCACTATAATTACAGCCAACAGTAATGGTGACTTGATATCATGTCACCTCTTTTGGGCTTTTGTCAAGTATTTGTCAAGGACCGAAATGTTGGCAATTCCCCTGAGGGTTGTATCTCTTAAGCTGATGCCCATCCTTTAGGTGCTTGATGATGATAATGCATTCGGTAGAATTGTGCCCTAAATACAATATTTTCTATTACACATAATTATTTTTTTGCAGGTTTGGATCCTGCTGGACCTACCTTTGAGTATGCTGAAAATGATGTAACTCTGTCTCCCGATGATGCTGAATTTGTTGATGTTCTACACACTTATACAAGGGGATCTCCTGATCGCAGTATAGGGATTCAAAAGCCAGTGGGGCATATTGATATCTATCCAAATGGAGGAAGCTTTCAGCCAGGTTGCAATATTGGGGAGGCCCTTCGTCTTATTGCAGAAAAGGGATTTGCAGGTAATTTAAACAGACATATCTTGATATATTTAGTTCAATATTGCATCTCACCGAGTTTGGGAATTTCACCATTGTGCCATAAAAATCTACTCAAGTCTCACTTTCTACCTAAAGAATAAAGGGATACACTCACCCGAGCAATTACAAGTCAGTATGTGGACAGTAGTAGAAATAATTAAAATATTTTAGTTTACTCTATTCTAAACTATCTCCAAAGCATACAAAGAATCATAAAAGGGATGTAAAAGATAAATAAAATATATATATTCCTAACATAATATTTTTTTTTATATCAATCTACTAAACTGTGTTACTTACACGTGAAATTAATAATCTGAATTATAAAAGTTTCAAGACTTATTTAAGCTTTAGATATTTAGTTTCAAAAGATTTCAATCCAATATTGTCTTATTAACTTTTCATATTGTGTTGCAAAGCAATGAAGAGAAGTCAAGTAGCCCATAAAGTTCTACTTCCTTTTATCTTTGCTTCAACTTAAGTCCACCTCTAATATGAAAATACTTAACTGGTGTGTGATGATAAATACCAGCTACCCCAAGGGCAGTAGCGGCTGGTGAAGTTTAAAGATGGTGGGGTGCTAAACTCCTCCCTCAGAATTTTACTCCTTTTTTCAACCCCATACAAACTGGTGGGGCACTGCCCCAGGTGCCCCTATGGACGAGCCACCACTGCACAATCGGCCTGCTCAATCGGTCCCCTTTTACCCAATCTTGTACACAAAATATATAGGGATACAGCTGTAGCCTTATTGGATTTGTTTTAAAAAGGCATTTTTTGCTACATCTACATTTCACTGAAGTCCCTTGTTTTAACCAAGCTGGAGAGCTCTTGCACCAAGTGAAGTTGAGAAGTTTGAAGGGAAATTGACCCCCCCATATTTCGGGGGAGGAACCCTGTGCACGCTATAACATCATACATTTTGTGAGTGCAATCTTGTTTGGCCCTCCATATGTTATTACACTACGCTCTATTTCTATTTGTTTTAGGGTACAGCTGATTACCTATATATTTTCTATATCTTTGCTCCAGTGCTGTTTCTCACCCTTCTTCTACACCCCCATAGTCTACCTCTCCTTATCCAGATTGGAGCCTAAGAGGAAGCGTGTCACTAGACATCCATAAGAATCTCTGGTAGATCAATAATCAATTTCTATCAGGAACAAATAAATAGTTGGTGAACATTTGCCTTTTGGATGTTATTTTGATTTATTTATGATTTCCTTTCTCACCTAAAATTTATTGTGACCCAATGAAGCATAGTATTTCTAATACATCCTGCTGGCTAAACAAGGCCAAGATCAAAGTACTGTCAATAAATCTAGTATTACAAAGTTATACCGATAACAATATTGCATAATAAAATAATGTATTCTTTTTCCAAAACATTATATATACTTATCATGCATTTTATACTTTGCAGATATGGACCAACTTGTCAAATGCTCCCATGAACGTTCCATTCACCTTTTTATCGACTCTCTTCTGTACGAAGAGAAGTCAAGCATGGCCTATCGATGCAATTCAAAGGAGGCCTTCGATAAAGGACTATGTTTGAGCTGCAGAAAGAATCGCTGTAACACATTGGGATATAAGGTGAACAAAGTACGTGGAAAGAGGTCCAGCAAGATGTTTCTGAAAACAAGAGCACAGATGCCTTTCAAAGGTATGAAAATTTAAATTCACATTATCACAGCCCTACTTCAGCAGAGATAGACTGAGCAGGGTACGGGAAATGTATATTCCATATTATGTTTGATTAATTTTCTTCTAGTGGGAATTTTTATACATTTCAAATAAGAAGATATCAGTTGTTATTTTTGCCAAGTGTCGATGACGATACAATGAGAATAACCGTATTATTTCTGTTACTATTTGAATAGCAACATGAATTCTATACAGTTTTGCTGATAACATTATTTAATCATTAATCAATTACTTTTAATGCCATTTTACTCTCACAATATAGACCCACGTTAGAGAACGATGCTCTCTCTGATTCAATTTACCATATTTAAAGAGGGCATGTATTCACAAGTAACCAAATTATAAAGTCCATGGTAGGAAATACAATTTTACTTCTATATCATTGCTGCCCGACTGCGGAATATATACATGAAGTTGGACTTTTGCCTGGAGGTTTCTTTTTATCTTATAAGTGGACTGCAAGCATCGTGAAAATACGCACAATGCTCGAGTCATCGTGATGGGGTACACAGCATTTTGGCAACATAAACAGTGCATTAAAGCATTGACTCAACAACATTGACATTGTAGTTTAGAAATGGGTGATGTTAGTGTTAGGATATAATCTGAAACTTAGATATACCTAGGATGCTATTAATATATTTATTGACAAATTGTGCAGGGCAATATCGGTATTGAATGTTTTACTCTTTAAATTGAAAGCATGTGCCATTTTGTTAAAATTATTAAAAAGCATTCCGTTTAACAATTAAACTTCTTATATTACAGTAATTGAAATATAATCCTTGCTAAAAAAAATTTAAAAATTAACAAAAAAAAAATTCCAATAAATTTATAGATTTTATATACAGTATGGGGTTTTGGTTTTTATGTTCATACAATAAACTTATCAAAAAAGTTGCATATTTTCCAACTGAATGCTGAATTAGTACAAAACAGTTGAATTGGAAAATAATCTCCAGCTTGCATTTTTTTTTTACTTTTTCTAAATCTATTTTGGTCTAGAGTCAGCAATTCGATAACTCACTAAATCTCTAATAGACCTCACAACTCTGAGAAATATTTTTCTGAGACAGCTGATGGAATTTAATTGCACAGTTTGTTCCCTCGTATCAGCGCTTTGAACTTCTAAGAACTCATGCGTTCATGCGTGATTTGCTGCTGTACTCATAATAAAAAAAATTGCTTTTATCAATGGAATAAAATATGTTATCTATATTGATATTTAAAAAGTAGACATATCTACTGTAATTAGAAAATGGAAAGACAAACATTTTTTTTAAGAATAATTATCATTTTTTCATGTTTTAAAGCATTAGCTAAATATTTATGGTTTTGTTGTGTTTGTTGAAGCATGCCATAACATCTTTATTTCTGTACTGGGTGACAGTGTAGAGATGGAGTATGACAAAGTTCTTGAAGGAAAAATAAAATAAAGACAAAATCTTATTTCAGTTTATCCTACAAAATAAATATTAAAGGTTTACTTTTAAAGGACCACTCTAGGCACCCAGACCACTTCAGCTTAATGAAGTGGTCTGGGTGCCAGGTCCAGCTAGGCTTAACCCATTATTTTATAAACATAGCAGTTTCAGAGAAAGTAATTGTGGTGCCTGGAGTCTGTATGTGCATTAACCTCTCTGTCACTTCCAGTAGCATAACAGGTTGTCATCATCATAGGGTTGTTATCAGCCAGCCCAGAACTAGCATTCCGGGTTAGCTATTGTCAATTCTGTGCAACTTTTTGAGAGAGGTCAGCTGATGCACTCAGCCAATGAATGTTGACCACCCCGGCTTCTGACTTCTGCAGTTGCAAGTGCGTCACCAGACCACCATGGAACCTTGGAGCCTGGTGGGGTCCCATAAAATGGGATGTAGTGGTTGGAGTAACCCTTTAAACCATCAAATATTTGAAATATACATGTATATATGTAACAACATGTTTGGCAACATGACAACAGTTGATGCCATGAAATCTTGGAAAAAGATACAGAATATAACAGGTGCTGTTCTCTTCTCTGTTTCTTTCCAGTATTTCACTATCAAGTTAAAGTACATTTCTCTGGACAAAAGGACTTAACGGTCACCAACCAACCCTTGCTAATTTCTTTGTATGGAACCAAAGGAGAAAGTGAGAACATCGCAATCGCATTGTAAGTGTCTATTAAGCAAGGTGATCCGTCAGTGACTTTTACATTATTAATAAAAAATGTTTTTAAACAGAATGCATTGCTTGCTGTGTTAGGGATATTCTCTGGTGCAATATAATTAGAAGACTCATGTTGTGAAGTATAAAGTTTTTGAAAACTATTTTTTTAAAGTTTTTTGTAGTTTTATAGCCACTGTTTGATATCGATCTTAGTGTGAGACTGATTGTTTAATGATCACTATAGATACCATAACCACTACAGTTAAGTTTTTCTTCTTTTAAATATAGTCTCCTCCTTTACTGTGTTGATCCCCTTTATGTATTTAAATGTTTCTATCATATCCCCGCTGTCTCGTCTTTCCTCCAAGCTATACATGTTAAGATCCTTTAACCTTTCCTGGTAAGTTTTATCCCGCAATCCATGAACCAGTTTAGTAGCCCTTCTCTGAACCCTCTCTAAGGTATCAATATCCTTCTGAAGATACGGTCTCCAGTACTGCGTACAATACTCCATGTGAGGTCTCACCAGTGTTCTGCACAATGGCAACATTTAAATATGTTGATGTTGATATCCATAGGTTAAGCAGCAAACAACTTATATAAAAGTGCTATTATGCATTTGAAAAAAAATAGGTCAAGTTGAAATGGCATCTCCACTTATTCATGGCAATATCATCTTCTGATTTGTCCTAAGAGTGACGTTTATTATTGTTATTTCCCTGCTCTTTTGAGACTAAACCAGCAGTATCTCTGCCATTAAACCTTTCATGACAATTTAAAAGAAAGACCATCATGATATGATACGATTTGCTTGTCCTGAAGATATTTATATTTGAATGTGGCGAAGAGGGGCTATAGCTAACAACATGTAATAATGACACACTGCTAATTGTTTGCCTACTATAAAGACTAATTTTGTGTTTTATCTTTTATCTTATTTCTCTAGGCCTGAGATTTCTACCAACAAAACCTTTTCATTTTTAGTTTACATTGAACAAGATATAGGAGAACTTCTGATGTTGAAAATAAAATGGGAAAAGGACTCCTATTTTAGCTGGTCAAATTGGTTCACTACCTATTCATACAATATTAGAAAAATCCGTGTAAAATCAGGAGAATTTCAGAAAAAGTAAGATATTTCCCATCTATCATATTGCCATATTGCCGTAAATGCCATATACTAAAATAAATTCATATTGTATAGTTTATCCCATCTGATATTTTATTGCACAATTTATTTTTATGTATCATTTCAAGATATATGCAGTGAATTAAAAAAACAAAAATCAATGGTACTCCTAAATTAAATCTCCAAACACCTATCACGTGATCAGTTAATAGCATCTAATTCTCTTAGCTACGTTTTATTTCGTTCTCATTTTACTCAAATACATCTGTATTTATTTATTTTATTCTACAAAAGTTATCTTGTAAGATTAACAAAGTTCCGTTTGGAGAAGTATTTGTAAATGTTGATATTCATCGTTTCAGGTTAATTTTCTGTTCCAAGGAGGGCAACCATGCCTCTCTGATAAGGGGCAAAAACTCTATAGAGTTCGTCAAATGCAATCAGCACTCCTTTACAAAGAAAAAAGCTTTGGTAAGTGTGATGTTAATTAACTGTTTAACAGAAAACACAAATTTTCTGAAGAGATACAATTAACAAAAAAAGAGGGATACGTTAAACGTACTTGTACAATTTTTGAAGTCAAAATAAAAAACATAAGCAAAAACTAACAAAATGCCATTATAATATAGGATGTGCATGTTACATTTCTATAAAAATGCATTTCAAGTGACGACTTGTTCCTTTTTGTTTTCTCAAATTAAATTCATTGAACGGCCTCATTGAACTTTATAGCTCAATGGTTTTTAATAAGTTCTGCTATGTATCCTAGTTATTTATTAGTCCATTCTCAGCTCCCATCTTGCCTTTCATTCAGCCATGCTGTAGATCTCATTTTCTTAAATGGACACTCCACTGCCCGAATAAAATACAATTTTGTGTTTATATCTAATAACAGATTGCAAAAGCTGCAGTTCTTTTGCCTGCAGCCTTTGCAAGCCCTCTCCTTCTAACCCCACCTACACTTTCTGTGACTGTCCAATCCCAGCCTTCTTTGCAAGACAGGTGTCTGGCTCTATAGCAGGGGTTCTCAACGTTAGTCCTCAGGACCCCCTACCAGTCCAGGGTTTAGGGATTACCTGGGTGTGTCTAAGGTGTTTAGAAAAAGAAAGAAAAAACACCTTAGAGTCTAAGGTGTTTTTTTCCCTTTTTCTAAACACCTGAGACACACCCAGGTAATCCCCAAATCCTGGACTGGTAGGGAGTCCTGAGGACTGGGTTGAGAACGCCTGCTCTAGAGTGTAGCTCCACTAAGCTAATCAAACCAGGAAGTTACAGGACCTTCTTTTTGATTGACAGCCAGAGGGTGTAGCAAGATCCATTAATAAACGTGTTAATTTCTATTGATATCTGCACTTTTTGAAAAATGAGAAAAGGGGACACACTCTTTACACATAATGCACTTCAGTGAGATAACATGAGTAACGTGTTTGGAATCTTCCTATAATGTGTGTTGAGCTATCACATTTGGGACAAGCTATCAAAGTGTTCTGTTCTAAAAAAGTGGGTTTAAGTACTAAAAGTAGGGCAATCACCAAGGAAATTGGTGTAACCAGCAGGCCCGCTACATTGCTGACTGCGCCACCTTTAAAATTTTGCAACACTTTTTAGAAGAGAACACTTTAATAAATCTTATTAAATCTTTTAACTCACCCTTATAATTTCTACCTTTTTCTCAGTAGTCATAATTTCAGAAAAAGTAAAATATATAGAGATGCACAAAGTGGGGTCTTTGAAACTTTTAGAACTCTTTAATAAATACGATCAAAACAATTATGCTATTTAACTATTAGTTTCGAACACTTAACTTAATATACCTCATTGTTTGTTTCTTTTTCTTTTCATTAACATGAGCAATTAAAAAAAATTGACAATAGAAAATGCAAATTCTAACCCTCAGTCAACAACCTAAAAAGTTATCCCATTCAGTAGTTTCTCCAGATGTAACTCTTTTGGCCAGGTTTTGAAATTCACTTGTCATGTTTTCACAAACTAACAAGAACGAAAGATAAAATGAGCAGACAACACGAACAAATCATGTTGTGATAGCTAATTAATTCAAGCACAGCATATTTGAATTTGTGTTTTCCTTTTTGCAGATGTGAAACTATTGTGCACTCCTATTGACGTTAGTCAATGACATTGAAGGTGTGGAGAAAAAGAAGAGCCTTATTCAGAACTGGAACTGCATACACGGCACATGGCATTTAAAATAGAGCAATAGTTACTATGTATAGCTATTATTAAGAAATACTATATTATATGTGTTTAGAGGTAGAGAGAGAAAACGTTACATAAGTTAGATTTTATCGTTCTCTCTTTACTGAGAATGTGGAGTGCGGGAGTGCTGCTAGATTGAAGTGGCTTTCAATTTTCTGGATTGTACGCCCACATACCCCGCAAACTCCCCCACCCCGCACACTGGATATTCTGTTTTGAGTGCCTCTGGTTTCTTTTATATCTGTTTTATAATATGTTTTCTCAGTTATGTTACTTTGAATGAATGATTGCATCTTTAAAGATGTTTATTTATAGTTACAGGGATTGGTACAAAGTTAAATAACTGAGAAAATTGATAAATAACAACTCAGAGTGTGTTTTAAAACAAAATATATAATTGCGAAAGGAGCCAAATGCTGTGGATTGTAAATATGTTGTGAATATATTATACAGCCAAAATGTATTACTGAAAGTTGCAAAATTTAGCCGTACGTGCACTAAAGTTTAACATTGATTGAATTTTTTAAATGATGACTTGAAACAACACAGTACTAAGTAACAATTTTTATAGCAATATCTGTTGTGATGCCTGGGCACTGAAACAATATCTTATTCTGCAAAGCGTCCCCAATTATTAGAACAGTTTTATTCTCCCATAAAAAATGCAGTCAGCAAAAAACTGATCTTATCCCCTTTAAGACAGAACTTCAGAAATAAAAGGCAATCATGACAGAAAAATTCCGTCATGTGCCCTTAAAGGGTTATTCAAAGTTTGGTTTGTTTAAGAAAAATAAAAAAACATAACTACAATGATAAACTAAAATGCACCTAAAAGCTTGATTTTATTTGTAAATATAAATGTTTGTCACCTACACAGCTTGGCCATTTTATCGTACAGTAAGTAGCTTATTCATTACAGTGGGGAATTCATAGAAGAATTGCATTTTTTAGGCACAAATAGCGGAATAGGGAATTTTTTTACAGTTACGCATTTTGGAATTTCTTTGTCAATTTCCTACAGTTATAAGCACAGGCTACAATTTAATATTTTTGGAAACACTTAAAATTATCCAATATTTAAAAAAAATATTGTAACAATTAGTTTATATATTTATATATATATATATATATATATATATATATATATATATGTATATATATATATATATATATATATAAAAATATCCAACGAATAGCTGCACTCACGGTGATTAAAAAGCAAAATTTATTAGAAATAGATTAAAACATCAATGATCAACGTTTCAGTCCGTCCAGGACTTTCCTCAGGATCAATAAAAAGATCTTTTTATTGATCCTGAGGAAAGTCCTGGACGGACTGAAACGTTGATCATTGATGTTTTAATCTATTTCTAATAAATTTTGCTTTTTAATCACCGTGAGTGCAGCTATTCGTTGGATATTTTTATATGGATGGCTATATTTAGCTAGCACCCGGGACACAAGGACATTTGGAGCGTGAGTGCAGGGGCTTCTTGTATTTTTATATATATATATATATATATATATATATATATATATAGTTTTTTAATATGTAATCCAAGGTTCTGCACACGCCTGTCACAAGTACTTGCCAAGGAACAATCTCCAGCCTTGGGTAAACAATGGACACAAAGGAGAGCTCTCACTGCACTTTCAACCAAATTCAAATATTTATTGTGAATACAGTCATATTATATCAACGTTGTAAAGTCTATAAAAGGCTTTCATAATTTCATCATTTTTCTGATGACAGTCTTTAATAGACTGAAACGTTGATGTAATGTTACTGAATTCACAATAAATATTCCAATTTGGTTGAAAAGTCCAGTGAGAACTCTCCTTTGTGACCATTTTTTAAATCTGATTTTTTTTATATATATATATTTTAATACTTTGAAACAATTATTTTAAAAGTTTATCCAAACATATTGAATCATTTTTGAAAAGCTTATTCAAAAATTTTAAATCGAGGCCTTAGTGACTAAACTCCACAGTGTATTTTTTTTTCTTGGAAAGAGGAGTTGAGATATTAATTTTTAGTAAAAGGAACATTATAACGTTAGGAATTCAAATGTGCACTCCTAACGCTATACTTCCCTAGCAACGTTTGGGTGACCTCCAGCTGAAAGGGTTAAACAGGTTAAACAGTTAAGTTACCTTTTCTTTGACTCAGCGCTAGTCTATGGCATTCTGTTCTGCCTGTTTTCTACGATGATCATCCAGATTGAACTAGTTTAGTATTACTGCACTATTTCAGCGAAAGCGCCTCTAGTGGCTGTCAGTATGATCAGCGTGGATTTTACAAACCAACAGTTGGTTTGAAAGTAGTTTAATAGATGTTACAAAGTATATTATTAATGCTACATTTCATAAAATTTGTTTGGGGTTGGCAGAAAAAACATGTCCATACTTATCAGGTAGATAACCCCTTATGACTACAATGTATTAGTAAATGTACAGTTTGTTTTATTCCAACCCTTCTAATTGGCTATTCACAAGTTCGTAAGGTCGGAGAATTGCCAGGTTATTGAGGAGTTTATACAAAAATTGTATCAACTGAAAAGGTTAAAATTTTAACTTTGTGGATTAATTGACCTACTTGCAAATGATTAGACTAAAACAAAAATATACTTAGCATAATTATGTTGATTTGAATAATTTGTTGAGTGGTAGGTTTAACTTCACACTAGGCTTGGAGATTTCTTTCGGTCCAAACAGCAATTCACTCAAATTTGGGCTGATCAGGTGATCAGTCGAATTACTAAATTCTGAACAGAAATGTAGCCAAATCACGAGCCAAAAGAAACGCACAATGGTAGAGCATGTTCGATTTGGTTTATGATTCAGAATTTGTGCGAAAGATGCAAAAAAAGATGATTGATTGTTAGTGAATAGTCACTAAATTTTATTCACAAATCAAGTGAGATGTGGTTAATAGTGGGAAAAATTGAGTAGTTGTAAAAAAACCAAACATATAGAAACATAGAAACATAGAATGTGACGGCTGATAAGAACCATTCGGCCCATCTAGTCTGATGGCAGATAAGAACCATTCGGCCCATCTAGTCTGATGGCAGATAAGAACCATTCGGCCCATCTAGTCTGATGGCAGATAAGAACCATTCGGCCCATCTAGTCTAGCCCAATATATTTCTATATTATATACTTAATAAATATATAATATATAAATAGTTATTTTATTACTCCTTTCAGCTTTTTTTTCTATTGGTTACTTTTTTCTGATTTTATTTGTAAACCAAATGGTTATCAGTGTACTGCAAATATATACATAATATTATAATATATAAATATATATATATTTGAAAGACACTGATTGGTTAATTTGTGCACCCTTTTTGGTTAGCCGGATTTGTTTCCCAAATCGTTTTTTTCGGTACCCAAATTCTACCATATGGCTGAAATTTTGAGAAAAATGGTTCATCTGAATTGAATATACTCATTGTGCACAAGTCTAATTTACACTTCTAGCATTCACATGGTTAAACTGAGCATTAGTAAGCGCTACGGAATCTGTTGGCGCTATATAAATCGCAATAATAATAATAATACATTTAATTACTATGCCAAGCTATCTCATATACTTTATAAGTACATTACTAGACAATATTTAATCTTATATATATATATATATATATGTATTGTCTTCACTTTTGCACTTAACAGTAAACATGTTCCAGTAATATGTCTATTGTGTACCTTATTTCCACTTGACATTCATTTTTTTATATACCCTAGAGCAGGGATGGGCAAATGGTAGATGCCCAGATGTTGTAGAACTCCTACTTCTGTGATGCTTCACCATTCTGAAGGCTGGCAAAGCATCATGGTATTTGTAGTTTGAAACATCTTGGGTCCTGACTTTTACACAGCCCTGTCCTAGAGATTGAAATGTATACTGATGCAAAGATGAAAACATAGTAAATTTTTGTATATCGGTACAAAAGACAAAACATACTGAGGAATTATGAATAACGATGAAAATGTTCTCAATTAATAATTTGATGAAGCAAATATTTACTTTTTAAGTGTGTAACACAGCAATTACGGGTCATCGTAATTATTCCTCAAAGCATCAATAATGTCATAATGGAATATATAGTAGAACTTTGAAACAATATCACATACATATGTAAACATTATAGTACATTTTACAGCTGCTAAGAGGCAAGAAAAAAAAAAATCGATTCTCTATTCTGATAGGCTGCGATTTGCACCCAATCAAAATACAGTTGGAATTTCAATCATGGTCAGTGACCATAAAATTAAAGTTAATGATCAACTCCATACATTTAATTCACAGATACAAACTTTGCATAAGGTTCAATTAATGATATCACTGTCCATTTAAAACATGCCTTTCTCCCCTTCCATCATCTCCAATAATGTATATAAGTTCACTTGTGTTTTCCCTTGCAATTAAAGATTACATTTAGCCCATTGCAAGACAAAACACATTTAGTTTAACTGGTGCAGAATTATATTCTTTAGAGACATACATTTCTCTGCAGAAAAACATAAAATGGCATTGGCCAACCCTTTTCTTCAATATTGACGTTTATATCCTGTTATCATTTTTCTGACGGTGCATTGCTTAAATTGCCATTAAGTTTATTATTCATACCCATATTAATTTTTTTTTTTTTTACTTTGTTTTTTTATAACATCGTTTTTATTACATCATACCCATATTAAATATTTTTCACTAATTTTTTCAACACATCTGTACACTATATGAAAAAAAATGCAATTTCTGCTTTTATGCTAATATGTCAAATGTTTTCCGAAATATATATTTTTATTTTTTTAAGTTTTTGTAGTGAAGTTGTAATTGTGGTTCTGTCACCATAGTGGACTTTGCATATTTTGTGATAGTGTTCTCTAACCTTGAATAAATAAAAAGTGCATAGAACTATTTATGGAAGTTGGGCTAAAAATGTTCAGAAGATATTTTTTAAATTTACTTTTTGCAAACCCATCTCTGAACTGAACCTCTGAATTTGAACTTTTTAAACTTTTTAGAACTAAAATATTATTTGTACTGAAAAGCAAATTTAGACTAGTTTAAAGGAAAACGTCAACATTAAAACTGATATACTGATATTAGCGTGTTCTTTTTGAATTATTAGTGCCAGACACTTAGCCTAAATAAAAAAATTAAAAAATTAAATATTACCTTTTCATTCAGTGCCAAATCCTCTCACTGCTTTACACCAGACCAGGGCCAATTTCAGTGACTACAGTCTTTCCTTCCGGTGAAAATTTGTGCCTACGAACTGATTGCCATGAATGTGTCAATCAAATCAGATGATTACCCAACATATTGCTTCTCGTAGGGAAGCATAGAGCAAGGCTTCTCCATAAAAGTGCTTTGTTTCTGCCTAAAACATTGTTCAAAGTGGACTGAATTAGTAAGCCTCCTGGGGTCTTCCTAAATAGTTTGAATCAAAACATCTCTTGAAATCTGCACTTTTATGAATTGGCTCAAGGGAGAATGCAGCAAACTGAAGTGGTTTAGGGCTTTGGAGTTTCCTATTAACCAAGCTGCGAATGAAGGTGATCTTGTCATTATTTCGGACTCTTCTATTTTGATCTAAATTGAGAAAGAAAGAATGTGTCTTTCAGGGCATCACAGTTCATTACAGTGTTTAAATATATAATGCTTTGTTATTGTAAAAAAAAAAAAATATAGAATATCTAATTTTTTTACTGTTTACTGCATTAACACTTTTATACATTAGCATAGCCTCTGTCGGTTGTCATGTAAATTATACACAAAAATACATTTGTGTTGTTGCACAGCAAGAAATGTTCTGCCTTGTGTAGTACATAAAAAAAAAACTCAGCAGATTATACAATAAGATACTTCCACAATAAGATACTTGAGCAGTGTAAAGACTGTTACACATTAATGGTACACAATTTTGTTATTTATTTGCTGTGTATGTATACATGTATATGAATGTAAATTATGTTTTGTATATACTAATGGGAATAGAAGCCTTTTTTACTCTAAAATGTAAATATAGTTCATTTAAAATTTTGAACATTATTTGAAATCATTTATTTTTATTATGCAATAGCTACCTGTTTATGTTTGTTTTATTTTTTATTCTTTGTTTTGATGCCACAATAAAGATTGTATATCTGTGTAGTAAAATAGTAAGTGTGTGTCCTTTTTTGAAAAGAGAACTTTACTTTAACGTAGAAAGACACACACACACACTGCCTTTACCATATGGAAAACCCCAAACAAGTCATCATTGGCAGTATGTTAAAGGGGAACTTTAACTTCCAAGAATTTGTATCATTATGTTTATTCACTTCCCATATTTAAAAAAAAAAAATGTAGTTGTAAGGCTTGAAAAAATAAAATTTAATGCAACTGTCATTTAAACCTGGCTGTTGGCCTCTGGGAAAATTAGAAATTAGGATAAACCCCCAGAACTTGAATTTCTTATTGTGGCTGCTGTAAAGACCACAACATATGGAAAATACTCATTAAAGGGTGTAGAAGTCTATTAACATAGTAGGAGATAAGAAATTCTAAACGTAACAGAGTGTGTAGAATGTGTTATAAAGGAAGTTTAAACATTAGACCTCTTTTTGCAGGAAGTATTTAGGAATGATGTGTTAATCACATGCAGGGAGGTGTAACTTGAGCTGCATAAACAAAGTGATTTAACTTCTAAAAATCTGAGAATTGAGCAATGAGATTACAGAGGCATGATCTATACACCAAACCAACTCTATTAAGCAAACATTGTTTTGGTGCCTATAATGTCCCTTTAAGAGAAGAGTGCACATGCACACAAATCCAGTGTAACACAGCTTACGCAATCTTAGCTGTATGGTTATTCTGTATCTTTTAAAATATATACAATGTGCAGTCTAACAGTATTCCTTATAGTAACACAATCTACAATTTTACAGAGGGTGCTGGATTCCATTATGTTTGAAAAAGACTAAATAAATAGATAAGGGCTGATCCAGGAGCCCCAATGTATACAGGGAGCTAATGGGTTAGCGCCAAAGGTGCCCAATGTCACTCTCCCTATAGTAGGGAAATAACCCTCAAAATACAATATAAATAGGGGAGGACTGAAAGTCCTAATGGGGAAGAGAAAATAGGAAGTGGAACCCTACCTTTAATAATGCTAAGGATAAACGGATTACATATGTCCAGAGATAAAAAGTGAGTTTTTGTTATGGTGGTTTTCTGGGGGCTTGGCTCCTCCACTTTACACTAGTACTTTTTATCTCTGGACATACCTGTTTTTTGTATACTTGCAGGAATAGTTCTATGTGCTATGTTTAGGTTCAGACCTATTGAGTAACTTTGTTTTTTGGGACCTATTTGTACTTAGCCTACCCAGCTGTATATTTTTGTCTCTCCATTACCTTTTTACATAATCTGTTTATCCTTAGAAGTATTAAAGGTAGGGCTCCCCTTCCTATTTTCTGTTACTCTCCCCATTAGGACTTTCAGTCCTCCCCTGTTCCTTAATGTTTGCACTGTTTCATTAAGTGTTTATGCTACACCTTTTAGTTCACTGAGCTCAAATAAGAATTTCAAACTGTAAATAATTGCATGCTCTGGGTGTGCCCTTAATTTAAAAAATATATATATTTCTAATATACGCATTTAAAAAATCTTAAAGGAACACTCCAGACACCATAACAACCATAAACAATTCCCCCAGCAGCCGGCATCCAGCTTTTAAAATTCACAGAAAGCAAGGAATGCCGACGGGTAGCTAGAGATGTCAGCTGAAGGTCTAAGCCTATTAGTAGCTCCCCATTCATAGAAAAACCTGCCAAGCAGCACTCCGTGCTTTCTGAAGTCAATTTCAGAAGCAGGATGCCGCTGGAGAATAGGAGATCTGGCGCAAGGAGAAACCTTTGGGGTTGAACCGTCTGAGAATGGTTTAGCCCCTTTAGGTAAGATAGCGTCTGGGGGAATCCTGGCATCATAACAGCTTCACTTCAATTTAGTTGTTATGGTGCCCGGAGGGTTTATTTAAGTCAATAAGTATACATTTATTGAGAGATATATTTAAACAAACAACAACTCTTTAATAGAGTTTTTGTTGCTTACTAAAGATATGTCACATTTTTAGAGAACTAAAATATAACATTTTATTTGTACTGAAAAGCAAATTTAGACTAGCTTAACCCCTTAAGGACCAAACTTCTGGAATAAAAGGGAATCATGACATGTCACACATGTCATGTGTCCTTAAGGGGTTAAAGGAAAACGTCAACATTAAAACTGATATACTGATATCAGCGTGTTCTTTTTGAATTATTCGTGCCAGACACCCCCTAAATAAAATTTTTTAAAAATTAAATATTACCTTTTCATTCAGTGCCAAATCCTCTCACTGCTTTACACCACACCAGGGCCAATTTCAGTGACTACAGTCTTTCCTTCCGATGAAAATTTGTGCCTACGAACTGATTGCCATGAATGTGTCAATCAAATCAGATGATTACCCAACATATTGCTTCTCGTAGGGAAGCATAGAGCAAGGCTTCTCCATAAAAGTGCTTTGTTTCTGCCTAAACCTTTGTTCAAAGTGGACTGAATTAGTAAGCCTCCTGGGGTCTTCCTAAATAGTTTGAATCAAAACATCTCTTGAAATCTGCACGTTTATGAATTGGCTCAAGGGAGTATGCAGCAAACCAAAGTGGTTTAGGGCTTTGGAGTTTCCTATTAACCAAGCTGCGAATGAAGGTGATCTTGTCATTATTTCGGACCAGGCCCGGACTGGCCATCGGGCACACCGGGGGTGGCCGTGGGGCCGAGGCCGGCAGGGAGATCACAGGATCTCCCCTGCCGGTCTATGCAGGGCCGGCGCTATCTGAACGCCGGCCCTGCAGTAGTCTACAGCTGGCCGGGGGGGGGAGATCAGAGATCTCCCTCACCGGCCCACATGCAGGATAGTGCGGCCGCCGGGGGAGAGAGGGAGGGAGCCAGCCTGCCAGCAGAGGAACCTGGCGGAGCTTTACCTTACAGCTCCGCCGGGTTCCTCACGCGAGATTCGGAGAGTTGCCATGGCAACGTTCCGGGTCTTGCGAGAGTGAACTCTAGCCCAACAGGCTAGAGTTCACTCACCACTAGGACCACCAGGGATGGATTGCAGCCCCAGCAGCAG